TCCCTGGATACTCACCCACGGCTGCAGCTGGCAAGGGGCAGGGACAGCTCTCCTGCTCTCACACTCCGGCCTTCACTACCAGGGCCAGCTCTACCGTGCTGCGAGGTGCAGGGCCCGCTGTCCTGAGTGTGTCGCAGGCGGCAAGGGGCGAGGCGGGGTGTGTGTGTGTGTGTGTGTGTGTGTGTGTGTGTGTGTGTGTAAATCCCTATGCCCATACCACCTTATGGCGGATGAGTGGCAGGCATCTAGATCTTTCTAACAGTAACGTAAAGCTGAGTCACATAACACCTCAGGGAATCGTCTGTAACACCAGTCATGCAGAGCTTCTTAGGGAAAGCCCCTCTGCCTCATCATGCTTTGCCTGCACTGCTCAGTAGCCCCAAGCCTTTCATAGGGACAGGGATTTGGAAAACCAGCCTATCCCAACCCAGCCCTGCACTGCCGAGCTGATCCTCCAGGCTGCAGCGAGGTGAGCTCAAAGAGGGTGCCGCTGTGGAGTCTGAGGGGTCACCCAGAACAGCCCAGATCCAGGCTGCCGCTGGCGAGACCTACCTTCCCACTCCACGCTCCCAGCTAGCGGGTCCCTTATTTGAGCCCCACATCCTTCGCCCTGCACTGCTCCATCCCCTTCTGGGATGCTGGCCGTGACCGCTGGGGAGTCAGAGCCCCCGTGGGAGCTGGTGTGCCGAGCAGTCCGCAAGCCAGCCTTGAGGCCCTCTGTGTCCCCGAGGGTGTGAGGTGCTGGCAGAGCCCAGGGCCACGGCTGGCGGTGGGCTGAAAACATTTTCCTTTATTATTAAAATGGGTAATTTTTCAGGCTGCCAAGTCATTGAACCCAGTTCAGGACTCGGCATAAAAATGCTTTCCCAGCTGTTTTCTGTGGCGATGTTGGCTGCCTTTGTTTTGATGCTGCAAAGTCAGATTTTTCTCAGTTGTTCCACTACTTCAAATGACTTGTTAACGCTGTCAGAAGGAAAGAAAAGCCAACTGATTAATAAAGTGCTCATGAAACGGGTCAAGGGAGAGTGCTGTCAAGGCCCTTGCAGACACCAAATGCAGCTCTGTCTGACCTCAGAACGCGGCCTGACACAGGGGCAACCATACAAGGCTTGTACTGTGTCTCCGTAGACCTGAGAGCAGCTTAGTGCCAAGTGTGGTATGGACACTCGCCTGCTGCATGGAGACAGAAACTCATTTCCCGTCTGTCAAGTGGCCTGACATAGAGCTGGTAATGATTTTCTGTCAGGCAAGGCTTGGCTGGATTTGAACCTGTGACCCAGAGGTAAAGGGCAGATGTAGGGCTTCCTTTACAAAAACCAGCTGCTCATGCCTTGTTATGCCCAACTCAGATCTGACTAGTGCCTGCCCATGCTTCCTCCTCACACATAAATTTTAGTTTTATCTTATCTCAGCATTAGGCTGAATGGCTCATGTCTTGTGGGATAGGGACAGGACATGGAAGGCAGAGGAAAGACATAGCTGGAAGGTCTGTTGGTGTCATTCACTAGGAGACCCCCACATTGTTGTTGTTGTTGTTTGTTTGTTTTTGAGAAGGGGTATCTCATTGACCTGCGGCTTGGCAATTAGGGTAGGGTGACTTGTCACTGAGTCTCAGGGTGCTCCCGCCTCTCCTTCTCCAGCACTGCAGTTCCAGCCAACCTGCGTCCTCTGTGTGATATGGGGGCTCAGACTCCACTCCCCATGCTGTGTGCCAAGCTTACTACCAACTGAGCAATCTCCTCAGCCTTCTCCTGATTGGCTGTCACTTTAAGGAGGGGGCGGACTCTGGGAGCCTTCACACATCCGCCAGTACAATGACGCCCGAGGGCCAACAGGTGGTCAAATCAAATGCCCCTTCCAGCAACACTGTTTCATAATCTGCCTCCAACACAGAGAAGGGTCAACCCGTTATCTGATTCACTGAGTCCTCTGGTCAGGCAAGCACCCTGATGCTTACCAGTGCTCCAGGAAGGGTCCTATGAAATCGGTCATTTAGAGCGAGATGTGTGGACTGGCTCCGCCGGTGCAGCGATAGCTGACTCTGCAGGCAGACAGAGAAGTTGAGAAGACGCGTGTTTGGAAGCACAGGGCTGCCACTGCCAAGACCCAGTGAGGTTTGTGTTTTGCCACTTGGGAGCCATGGGGCTTGGTGTCTGGTCTCTCCTGGGCCTCTACTGCCTCTCTTTAAAATGGGAATCATTTCGCCACTGTCAAAAACCATAAAAAGAAAAACGGCACAACTTGTTCGTAGTATCTGCGCATCTAGCGAGTGCCTGGTACCCAGTAGATGACAGAGTGTTTCACGGGCTGTGAGGTGCTCCTCAAGGAGAAATAAACAGCCTAGGAAAGGTATGTGAAGATTGCGACAGAGGGCCACAGAGGGAGGTAGAGAGAAAGTGTGGTTTTGTGGATAGAATCAATAGAAAACCATCTGGGTACAGAAACTGGGCTGGGAAGGTTGCAGCAGAAGAGAAGCCTGTGGTTGCTATGCAACAGAGGAGGCCGGCTTGGGGAGGACAGTGTGGGAAGGAAGGCATGTGGGATTAGTGACGCTTGGAGACAACCATGTACTGAAGCCCGTACTGTAACTGGAAATAGGAGACCAGAACTCCTGATTTGGCTGCTCCTGCTTGAGGCCAGATACTTGGCCGACATTACCCAGAAGTTCCCACAAATGGGGTTGGTGGAGAGAAAAGCTATGACCCCAATCCCTGGTGTGGTGGTTTGACATGGAATGACCCTCATAGGCTCATGTGTTTGAACGTGTGGTTGTAGGGAGGGGCGTTATTAGGAGGTGTGGTCTTGTTAGAGTGGGTGTGGCCTTGTCGAAGTGTCTCACAGTGAAGGTGGGCTTTGAGGTCTTACATGCTGAAGCTATGCCCAGTGTGGTACGCAGTCTCCTTCTGCTGCCAGCAGGTCAGGAAGTAGAACTCCCAGCCCCGGCGCCACATCTGCTTCCGGACTTGATGATGATGGACTTAATCTCTGACCAATTAAAGATTTTCCTTTATAAGAGTTGCCGTGGTCACGGTGTGTCTTCACAGCAATGGAACATGGACTAAAACACCTGGAAACAGCAACACTAAAGACAAGTTGGTGCTGGGTGAGGATGACACCCAATGGAGCAGAGGGGACATTTTAGTTCACACCCACGTGGCTGCCCTCAGAGAGGGCAGTGGCCACAGTGACCGCTCAGAGGGGCTCCAAAGGCGGCTGATGGCAACTGCTACAGACAGCTCCTTCTGCTGCTAGATTCAGGGGACATTCGGCATAGGTAGGAAAAGGCAAGGCCCAAGTGGCACAGGTGGGCCTGGAGGACCTGTAACCAGGTCCTTGCCTTTCTGTGCTCTGGGGATGCAGCCATTTAAAATCTAGCATCCGGCGTCTTCACTGACTCATGAGACAGACTCACATCCTGGTCACTCGCTGACTTCTAGAGACACTTAATAGTCTCCATAAGAGATCCCTTGCATAGATGGGAGTCTTGCAGCATGGAGCCTGATTTGTGGTAGCCCAGGTCTGACTACAGACGATGTGATTCGCACTAGCTCCACCCACTGTTGAATAATCACCACTGCCTCCCCAGGAGCTCAGCGAGTTCCAGGTTCGGAGACAAACTGGTTGCCGTGACTCTGTCCTTCCAACCTCCTTACACTTCTCACATTGGCTCTGTGAGCTGAGACGGGATTTCGCTCTATCTTTGGTGTGTACAGGGAACCTTGTAGAGGACACAGGGCAGTGGCAGAGGGTGACAGACCTAGTCAGAACATGCCCCATGTGAGACAATAAGCGATAGAACCTGACATCGTGGTGGGCTTAGTGTTGGAAAAGATAGACGAGGCTCCAGCCCCAAAACAGCGCAAGTGGCCACACTGACAGCAACTTACGCTCTGGGAATTTTAGGGACCTTAAGGAATCTTGGGGGTCCACATTGCTGAGCTTTTGAAGCTTGGAAGGGCCATCAACAAGGAAAGCACGGATTTCCTCAGCACGCATTCTCATCTTCTGCCAATGGTCTCTAGGGCTGGTGTCGACGGCACACCTTTGAGTTCCTTAGGATTTGTGAGTTGAGATACATGAATGGAGAGCAGCGTCCTCCATCAGTCTGGGCTGTTATTTTTCTCATTGACGTGACAAATTACTGGGCAAAAGCAACTCTCAAGGAAGGGATTGCTGAGCTCGCAGTTCGAGGGTGCAGTCCGCCATAGCGGGGACAGCACGGTGGCGGGAGTCAGACACGAGCCAGGAAACAGGGAGGGAGGCCTGCGCAGCAGTGCTTGGTCTCAGCCCACGAACCGGCACTACCCAGTTAGGGTGATGCTCCCTACCTCGACCAGCTCATCCGAGAACTCCTGAGGTGTCTATTCAGACCTCAGCCACCCTGCCACCTGCTTTTCACCGATCCTCTCCCTCTTCCTGCTTCTACCTCTCGTTCTCCCTGTCTGTCTCTTCGTTGGAACAGAACTAGAAGCCAGCATCCTCAAGCACGCGTCTCCTGTGAGCCACACTCCCAGCCCTCCTTTGTGCACTTTGGTCTGTGTTCGTACTCGAGTCCTCTCCCCCCCTTACTCCTGTTTTCTCTTTTCCTCATTTTTGGGACTTCTCAACTCCATTTTCCCAGCCAGTTCAAAATTCCTCCCACTTACTTCGTCAGACAAATCTGGCATTCTCCAACATAACTGGCTCGCAAAAAGCAGCCCTGGGCTTGGGAAAGGCTTGCCGGAGCACTGTCTTCTCCACTAATCAACACTACAAGGAGCGGGCTGAGCCCACGCCCACCGCCTCTGCGCCTTGTTGCTGTTTCCTTTGGCTCCTTAAGTCTGATGCAAAGACAGTGTACTAAAAATGGCTTTATGGCGTGGTGTGGTGCAGGTGGTGGGTATGGGTGGGAGGGAGGATGATGACCTGGCTGTCTGCTCATCCACATTTGGCGCTGCCCTGAGCTGAGGGAAACTAAGAAATCCCCGGAAACCAGGTAAAAACGAGCCGTAAGATTTTCAGTGATTCCTCAAGTATTCTTTGTTTAATCATAGAATTATTTTTTATTTTCCATTCGTTATAAATAACCCACTTTATTACTTAGCCATCCTTTTGAAAAAAATTTGGTATTTAGCATAAACACTGAGCATCAACCAGAGGTGTGTCAGTTTAAACAGAAACAGAGAAGGATTAAAAAAAAAATGCACAGAATCTTAAATTTTGGAACATGTGTAAAGACTGCATTACTATCCCTTAACATTTCAGACATTAGAAAAACACAAATTTTCGGTGGAAAATGAGTAAACATAAATATAATCCTATGCATTACTTCCATAAAGACACTTGGACAAACAAATGTATCCAGTAGAGATTGACATGGGAAACTATTTTAAGCTGCTAATTGAATCTTAATAAGCATAAATTAAAATAAATTTTGATTTTCTTTTTTGCTCGCTATGAAAAATATGCTATCACATTTGTGTAAAAGGAGAAGTAGCCACAGACAGGTTACTAAAGCTACCTACCAAAGCTTATGATATAAATCGGATTATTTGACAACAAAACACATTTTTAAAGCAAAAGATAAAATGTTATCATAGCCTTTTCAGTTGAATTTTATCCCAGTCACACCTACTGCAGGCGTTACACAGAGAGGTAGATAAGTTGGAGGGGAGACCAGTTCAAATGACATGAAGAATTCTGACTACAGCTCTGGCAGGCACTTCCTCTAAAGCCCAGAAAGCGTGCAGGGATGAGGCGTGAAAACCTTTCTGCTGCAGCAAGCTCACACTTACCAAACAGACTCACTGTGTCCCTCTCCCCAGCAGAGTGCCCTCAGCTTGTTGAGCATGGGTCTTCACAAGGCCAGAACCAGTGTTAGAGCTCCAGTGAGCGTTAGGGGGTCCTGAGACACTGGCACAGAGGACCGGTGCTAGCACCACGATGCCACGCTAACCACCACAAGCCCAGGGAACTCGGACTTCACTGTGGGATTAAAACCACCACTACCAATAACAGCTGCCAAGGAAACAGCAGGGCCTCGGTGAGACCCACGACAACTCGGTCTGCTAAATCAAGAAAGGACGGCATTCCGGGAACACAGGAAAGGTGCTCCCAGCACTGAGCACGTGGCTTCGTTTTCCCTCTGGGTCTGGCTTGAGCTCTTCTGGCCACTGGAGGCAATATCAGAGACTCCTTTGGAGGCTGATGCCCAATTCCAGGCTTAGTTCTGTTCAGAGCCTGGGGAATGGATGGCCATGGTCTTCCGTACCAGCTTCCTTTCCACCTGGCTAGGCAGTGTGGACATGTAACATTTGCTCACGCCCATGACCTTTTATTGTCTTTGACTCCTAAGGCAATATGACTTGACTTCTTAAGAGACGTCGTGAACATTTGTCAAGTAAAGGACGTTCTCACTCATAAATTGTCTCGAATGTTTTAAGTGCGCTTAACTAAAGGGTGTAACAGGAGCAATTTGGAACTGTAACAGGAAAAGTGCCTGGTCCCCGCCGTGGAATGTGAGCCCAGCTCACTGTTAACTGCTACTCTCCGACGGACTGTGACGCTTCAGTGTGTGTAGCTGGGCTGTTGTGAGGGTGCGAGTGAAATGCGAAACAAAGGGATTATGGAAGAAAGAGGAGCAAACTGGGATGTGACTGAAAGCCTCCGGAACCGCAGTCCGTGTTTACCTCAATACTCACATCAGGGCTTTCTTTGAAGCAGCTTATAACAGATTTAAGCTGTTCCCCCACACTCTTGGGACGGGACTGAAGAATTTCTGGGGTGTGCAGGGACTAATTGAAGGGATGCCAGGAGAAGACGATGTCAAGGAATGAGGTACCCTGTGCTTCTCAGCATCTCTCGTCTGTGACCCCCGCTGAGCTGATAAAGAGGCACGCCACGGTCTCAGAAACAAAGAACCGCGCAGTGAATCAAAGTGTGCGCATGAGACTCTGGAATTTTTCACTGTCACCAGGAGGATGGTTTCTGGATGCTGTGACCTCATTTCAAACGTTACAGTAACTATTGGAGTTGTTGTGCACAAAAGGCAGTATGAAGAAAACCTGTTAGCTTTTTGTCCCTTACTAAAACTTTTTTTCTGCATTAGGGAAAAAATTAAGTCTAAAACACTGTACGGCCCCTGAAGTAACCAACGGAGTATGTTTTGGAAATAACGCTCTTGTCAAAAACATTTTAAGGCACTTTAAACAGGTATATCATATTTTTTTTCTGTAAAAAAATAAAATAGGCATCAAAGCAACATTCCCAAGGACAAGTCCTCAGAACCCCTGTATGTACAAGCCTGTACATATATACACGGCTTCAGGAAGCCGAGTCCCGAGTCATACTGTTGGTCTCGTCAGCTTCACTCCCTGCAAGAAATGACAATCAGAGTTAGAAATGACAGTCAGAGTCAGACGGTGTCCACACACAGGCAAAATGTCAGCTCATACCGGGTAACACACGCTGCTGGAGGGGAGAGGCCACCCATGGACACTACCTTCATTCCTGAATGTCCCCACAGGTCCCAGGGTAGTACTGCCACCACTGGAGGATGGCAGACCACCTATGGGAGGTGGGCCTAGTGGGAGACAGTCACTGGGGCGTGTCCTCAAAGGGGAACATAGGACCTTGCATGGGGCCTGCATTCCCTACCCCCGTCCCCAGCAGTAAGAGGAAGGTTTTTTTCTTGCATACACTCCCACCATGACCTGCTGCTTTTCACAGGCCCCAAAGCAACACAGCCAGTTGATTATGGACAGGAACTTCCAAAACAAGGAGCTACAGGAAGCCTTCCATTTTCTTAGTCTTGGTATTTATTAGAGCAACCAAAGGCTGACTGGCACCCTGTACCATATGGCCGATCCTACCCCTAGAAACAGACCCTCTGGCAGCTCCCTGCCCAGACGACGGTCATCTCCCTGAGCCCGGCTATCTGTATACTCCTGCTCTGCACTAGTTGGATATTTGGGGGCTCATTATTATTTGTAAAACACAGGTAATGATGATACCCCGAAGGCTGAGTCTTAGTACTTAGTCTACTAGGTAACTATTCCAGGTCTTTGGATTACTCTAAGTTAGCCAATCCTAACTGGAAAGCCAACAGCATGGCCCAATTAAGTCTCAAAAAAATTTGTGACATTTAGAAGAAAACCCCACTCCAATTAACTTTTTATTTTGCACAAGTAAATATTGTTACCTATAGTATTTGCATTTTCAAACAAGTTCTTCTTGTTGTATTTTCTTTTGTAGTATTGACTCTAGGGCCTCGTGGATGTTAGGTTAACGCTCACTCACTAAGCCATACCTCAGCCCGCCTAAAAATTCATTTTGGCATAGGTCTCACTAAGTTGCCCAGGCTGGACTTAGTTGCCCAGGCTGGACTTACTTAGACTTATTTTGTAGCCCAGAATGGCCTTAAACCTGCTATTCTCTGCCTCACACCCCTGAGTAGTAGCTAGGATTACAGCCCTGCTCAATAAGGCCCAGATAATTTTCATTTTTTTGTCACTATTGATGTGTATTCATTAATACTGAGGAGGCAACACACACACACACACACATACACACACACACACTGATAAAAGAAATCTTCAAAGAAGGTGAAAAGAAAAGTCGCTAGAACCAGTGTCCTGCTGGCTCCGTGGCTGAGCTGGGGCCTGACACTGCTGTCTTTGGGTCACTGAATTCGTGATGACATCAGAGGGGCTAAACTTCTCAGGTGTGACTCAGGGGCTTGCTGGGAGTCTTGTAGAGTGATATTCTGTTTCTGTCATTGTGTTACAGGGTTTTCTAGTTCTAAACCTAGTACTGGGTTCCCCACAGGACCCTGGGAAAATCATCTAACTCTCTCATCCCGTGTCCTAATCTGTCAGATGGACATAGCAAGTTCTGCCAGAGCGTGTCTGTAGCTAAGCTGAGGAGCCAGGCAGGGTGCCTCAGTGTCCACTGCTGGCCAAGGCAGAGAATGGGGCCTGCCATGCACACACAGCGCCAGGGGGGTGCAGCCTGTGGCCATCCTGTCATTCAGGACACAGGGGACACGGCACAGGGCGCTCTGCCACTGGACGCCTCTTCTGTTAGCAGTCACTGCCTTGTGGACACACCAAAGTTACTCGTGGCAGGGCCACACCACGAGGACAGTGTCCACCGTGACACCATATTCTGTGCATAGCCTAAACTTCTTTGAGCCATTGATTTAGTTATTTTGGCTAATAGTTTTGGAAATTAAGTCTCAAGGACCTGCCTATTACGTAAAACACAGGTAATGCCTATTACGTAATAATATTCTGTGCTAAGTATGGGGAAATTAATATTGTGTGGGCTCTTGATAGTTAGCTTTTATATTTAATTGCCAAACGCAGTTTTAGCATTATGGGAAATTAAAAGTGAAAACGGCATTCTGGCTAAGTCCAACTTCAGCCACATCAGAAAAGCATGGATGAAAGGTTGGGCCCACAGGTGGGCTGTACAAGAAGCAAGGAGCGTACCTTTTAAACACCCCATCATTATTCTCATCAATACCAGTGTGCTAAGGAGTGTTTGTGTGCAGTACAAGGATTACTGTCTTTTATAAAGACACATTCAACCCATTCTTCCTGGCCAAACTGAACGGACCAATGTACACTGTAATTACACACTTATTTGTATGTATGATGTATGAATGTGGGTGTGCAGACATGTGTCCTTGTGTACAGGTATCTTCTTCAGTTGCTCATTACCTTATTTTAATTTTTTTGAACTATTGGGTATTTCAAGACCGGGTAGCCTTGGCTGTCCTGGAACTCTCTCTGTAGACCAGGCTAGCTTTGAACTTAGAGATGAACCTGCCTCTGCCTCCTGAGCGCTGGGATTAAAGGTGTGTGCTGCCGCCGCCTGGCTACTCATTGCCTCCTTTTTTGACACAAGGGCTCTCCTTTGTCTAAGTGGCAGCCCAGCTTGCTAGTGGGCCCCAGGCTTTCTGTCTCTGTCTCTGGGGCTGAGAGTTGGAGGGCACTGGCATGCTCAGCCCTCTCTGTGGATGCTGCAGTTTTGACTTGGGTCCTTATGCCTGAGCAGCAAGTACTCTATTCCGTCCAGTCATCGCCCGAACCCATTATTATATTTCACTAATAGAATACATACACTGATATACCAGAACAATAAGTGTATGGATCATTTGATTCCAGAAAGAGCATTTCCGTTCGTCTGGATCCCATCAGATCTTTGCAGTCTCACCTTCTGCCTCGACACCATCCACGACTTTATTGTTGGCACCAACACACTTCCCAGAAGGATCTGAGCTGGGTGGTAGATGAGCAAGGGCACAGATATCAGGGACAGATGCTCATGGCCTGCAAACACTATCTTCAGCATCGGAATTCCTGTCAACAAAGACAGAAAATTCAGAGACAAGCTTGGGCTGGCATCAAATTAAAGGCATGCTCCATGAAAACCAGAACTCTGCAATGACCTCTTACTCTATTTCCCCCTGTGTATTCACAGACCTGAAATGGGAGGCTCTCAGATAAAGTCAACAGATCTTCCTTGCATGACATAAAGCTCTAAGTTCTGTCTGGAACAGACGAAAAGGGGAAGGTGGTCTGCATTCTTCGGCGCCAGCACCTCTCACTCAAAATCAGCAGCTCCTTCATCAGGAGGAGGAAGACTATGAAATGAAGTTGCTCTGGGAAGGCTGGGAGGACTGAGGAAAGGTTAATTGTGGCTCCCTTCTTGCTGGTCGTTAGGGACCCCCAAGGATACAGGAAGAGAGCGTGTGGTCTAGACAGCCATCTCGGGAAGATGCTCTAGCTGGGCGAACATCCTGAGACAGAACCCAGGACCTCACAACCTGTAAGCATGTGCTCCAGCCACAAACCCTGAATGTCATTCTCATGGCTAAGGATCCCAATGTGCTTTCCAGTCATGAAACAACTTGGCATATAACAGGTAAACTGCAAACCTAGTGTCAAGCGAAGGACTCCATGGAACCCAAGCGGACAAATGGTTAACACTCTATAAGAGCGGGCTGTGCCCATTTCTAGGCAACCACCACTGAGGACACCTTTGGCTTCTTTAGCTAGCCAAACCCCAACACCAGCAGCTCAAGGTGATTACCCATTACTTTCCCATGGCCATGCTCTTCTGCTGTGTACATATGCCAGCTCTCAAAACCAAGTGCTTCAAACCCTCAGCTTTCTACTTGTTCTTCCTCCATGGTCTCTGATAAGGGCCCAAGCTCCTCAACAGCGCCCGAGGGTGGGGCATAGGTGGCTTTTTATTTACAACACATCAGGGAAGGCTTGGCTTTTTCAATTATTTTTAGCCTGCTAGTCAACGTCAAACCTTCATGCAAAAATGTATTTCCTGGCGCTCTCTTTTTCAGAGTTGCACAGAGCGCTGATGCATGATGGGAAGACTCACCCCTCCCGAACAGGACCCTGTTTCAGGGCTTCCCTGGCACGTGTGGAGGCACTTTCTGTCCTCTATTTCCATGCTCACTAAAAAGCCCTCAGAATATATAACAAACAAGACAAAGAACAGAGGGAAACAAAATATCGTAGCCCTTTAAAAAAAATCTTAAAATCTACGTGTTGGAAGGTCAGCAGAGCCTAGGATGCACGTGTCACTCCCCTGTCTAGACAAGCTCTCCATCCTGTGGTCTACATGCAGAACCCAGAGGATAAGGACGTTTGATGGCTCTGCTGCTCCTGAGGGACTTCCAAGAAGGCACCAAGGGGAAGAGACCCAGCAAGGAGGAGCACTGAGGGGGAGCACGTGGGAGCCCAAAGGGAATAAACTACAGACGTTCGGAGAGCTCTTGTCCTTAAAGTGATGAGAACAGGCTTCCTGACTAAAATTTAAGAACTGCCGTTGCTCAGCTAAATCGTCCATGTATCCAGGCTCTTCGCCTTTCTCCAGCAAGCTTCAGTGGGTTCAGAGAGGCAGCCAGGGGTCTGGTGCCGCTGCTCTCAAGCCAACAGAAGGAACTGCCGACTCCACAGGCTAAGTAAACACACACCAGAGGCTCCCGGACTGCCACGAAGCAGGCAGGCAAAGCAGAAATGAAGGCACACAGCAGCCTCACGCCAAGCTTGCTGCCCTTGGTAACCTCACTCCTGACTCTGTGTGCGCCGCAACCCGAGGGCGCAGAAGAGGGGCTGGTGTGCGCCTGCTCCCCGGGCAGTCGGGCTTTGGCAGTGCGCTCCTCCGGACTGTGGCTTCTCCAGGACAGCAGACTCCAAACTCCCCTGACCCCCACAGCACGATGGTACTGGGATTCCGAGTGGATCAAAAGCAAAGCTACTGTCAGGGCCACACCACGCGGCTGCCGTTTGACCTTCTAGAAGCTTTGTGTGCTGGTGGTCTTGCCCTTCTCTGAACTGAAGGTCTGAAGCTCTCTGGTGCTGCAGGTCCCTCTCATCTTCAAACACACCTTCTCTTCACAGGGATGTGGTGAACGTCGGTCCCTTGGCTGGCTGTACCCTCGACGGTCTTGCCAGTGTGGATGTGAAGATGGAAGGAACTGGGAGGCTCGTTGCTCCCACTGCTCTGCTTCAGCCGGCACTGACTTCTTCATGGGACACTGGCAGTCAGCAGCTAGCTCCTACTGGCAGCTCACTGTGCTCTCGGGGTCTCTCTGGAAGCCTGGGCCCTGCTACCCACTCTTTCTCTAAGCATTTGGTTCTGAGAGTCCTAACTCGCTTGTCCCAGCTTCAGCCACTTCCTCCCAGCAAGACTCCTGTGTTTCCTCGTGGCCCTCCTCCACTTCCATTTACTGAGAGCACAGAGCTACTCTGCTAGCAGGCCTTGGTGGCGCGTTTCTCACTGGGCCTTATAGGACAGTCGCTTGCCTTGCCTGAAGGAGAAAGGGTCCAGGATGACCTGCAGCCGTGCACACATTTGTCACCTCAGATAGGACCTTCTCCCCACCACTTTACGTGCCGACAAGACTTCCGAGGCCGTTATTAATTACACTCCCCATCGCTAACCTCCCTAGCGACCAATATTAAACACAGGGATGGAAATCATATTTCAGAGGTAAGAAGCTTGGTGTCAGTGATGAGGCCCGAGTCCTTCAGTGTGTCCGCTGGTTGTCGCAGACACCTCAGTGACAGAAGGGCACTCGCAATGAAAGTCGCTGTAAAGTCCATCTTACTTTTCCACCATTCAAATACCTGCTTTACTTTTCTAATTTTAGGGTTCCTCTCAAATTGTTTCCTTCAGCGTTGCTTTGTTTCAGCCGTCGAGCGTGACTGCAGCGGACCCTCATATCCTCCAAGGTCTGGGTGGAAAAAGAAAGGCGGGAGAGGCGGAGAGACAGTGTATTTCCCAGTCAGCAGGTCCTGTGTTGTGATGCTACTCGCTCTGCCTGCGGTGCCTCTGCCAGTTGTCCAGGGATATCTGGACAACAGCTAGAAGCCACAGAGGAGCTATAGGGTCTTCCAGAAGCCACTATACCAGCACTCTTGATTTCTGCCACTTGGCAATGGAGCTGCCATGTTGAATCAGGAAATCAGTATAGTTTTTGTTCCAGCAGCTTGTAGATAGAGACACACTCTTGCCCTCTTCTCTTCCAGGGTTAATAGCTCACTGAACCTCATCGCACCAGCACTCAGGTGTGTTGGCTTAGTCCCAGGCTGTACCTGAGCCCAGTGTTATGGCTTAGATCTTGTGTCCTAGAAGGCCCAGCCATTAAAGGCTTGGAGTTTCGGGACATACTGAAACCTTTAAGAAGATAAGTCTTATAAAAGGAACTTAGGTCATGTGGGCTGTGCCCCTGAAGGCTCAGTGGACCCCCGGCCTCCTTCTCTCTCTCCTTTTGTTGCCTGTTAAGCACGAGGCGGAGAAGATGTTCTGCACTTCTACCATGTACTCAAAGTTGATGTTCTGCCACAGGCCCAAGAAGACAGCGCTATGACCATAGACTATAACCTTGGAAACCACGGGCCCAAATAAACCTTTCCTATTTCAACTGCTGACACACCCAGGCACCACGTCAGAATGTCGGCCACTTCCTACTGAGGGCGCCCTGAGCACCCTGAGTGCAGTCTGATCACGTGGAGGCATGCTGGAGCCCTGTGCTCTCACGGCTCCCTGCATCCCAGCACTCGTGATGCCTCCGGGCTCCTCTCCATCCCCCTCGGCTCAGGCTCTACGATCTGCCTCACCCCCAGGCCTTTGCTCAGCTTCCTTTGTCTAGATGCCCGTCAGTTCTCGGTACCCACTTTACCCTTTAGCCTTCTGCGCCCGGGTTGCCCCCTCTGAGAATGCAGACTGACGAGCCCTTCTCCACATGACCCTACTGGCCCTCAATCCTTACCACAGCCTGAACCTTCATGTTTCCTTCAACAAGCGGCAGGTCAGCAGCAGTTTGTGATTCATCCTTGAGGGTATAGTAGGCGCTCACAAAAACACATCGAAGGAAGGGTTTGTAATTTTTCCAAATTCCACAATAATGCTACTATACAGATTATCACCTCATCTTTAACTACATTTGTTAATTAGGAAAAAAACCAATTAGCAAAAACTAAAAAACCCAAACAAACTTACTTGAGTTTTCCTTTTAAAGTAAAATTTAAATACGAGATTCTTTTCATCTTCCTATCACAGCAGTAATATAAATGAAGCAAATTAATTTTAATGCTCCCAGGTTCTGAGTCGGTGTCAGCATGGTTGACAGGATCCAAGCAGACTTTATGAGATGGCATTTGACTTTATGGACGCGAACACTGTGCACACATTTACAATTTTACAGGGACTTTAAGCTGTCACGCTGGAAAATGTTTATAAAACATTAATCAAAAAGTGCCTCTTTAATACAATGCATTGTCTGAAAGATGTGAGAAGGTGCATGTTGTAAATGGATTCCTTTCCTGACTAACGTAATTTCCACGGAAAGCATCTTCCCACTGCTCTCCATGCACACTGTGTGGGTAGAGAAAGAGCACTCTCCCCACATTACTACCTGATCCGAGCACTTGGGAAATCACTAATGTACGGCGTGCCATATTTCCGTGTCACACATGACACATTCGTCTAAAATTATCCAACAGGGTTTGACACTGCAGCACATTCCATAAGCAGAGCTTTCAACTGACATCTGCCACGCAGGAACTTCAAGAACGCGCTTTCTTCTACTAACAAGCGAGTAAGGGCTTGCTTTCATCCTACACCCAGGAAGGAGGGGATGAAACGGGGTGGACAAAAACACGCTCCCCCTCTCACTTAAGTATGTTTATTTTATGTTCTTTGAATTAGAAAATTCCCTTTGTATCGCGCTCAAGTCGCAACAGTTGCTGCTTTGTGTTAGATGAGCATTTCCTGACTTACCTTTGAGAAACGGGTACTTTTTTCTCCAAGATTAAACATGGCCTTTTCTTTA